TCGCTTGGAGTGTTTACAGCTTGTTAAAAAACTACTTCTATATTACTATATTACTTCAAATAAAAATACTCGATGCCCTTTTTAATTTTTCAAACACAGGACCACAGATTTGTGATCTTGAAATGTTATATTATGTTGATATAGTCCAAAAGAAAAATATATTTGTAATCAAACTATCGCCGCGACAGCACTGGATCGAGCGTATGAAACACAATTCCGCGCGTTGATAATTAATATAGAAAATGTCTTATATTTTACGCATCTTTCAATTAGCCATTTCTCGCTCTGAAATTAAATAGTCTGGCAAATATGTGCCTGTAGAGAAGAAAAAGCTTAAAAGTGATTTTATTTGGGAACACGACCAGCAGAAAGGCAAAATAGTATGTAATGTAATTTCCATTAAGGGAGATTAGCATTAGCTTATGTTATTCCCGTGTCTTTCACTTCTTTCAAGCGCAATATTCGGACTACACTGTCAACTAATTTTTAATTTTTGTTTGTTTGTTTGTTTGTTTGGTCCATGTTATTTATTTACATATTTTTTCATTTTTGTAACTGGTCTAACCGTTAAATAAATCATTATTATTATTATTATTATTATTTTAAAAACATAATTTACCTTGACAAAAAATATTAAAAAATCCTTGACAGAAACAAAAAACACTCTTTCTTAAATGATCTTATAAATTTACGTTAATTAAATTGCAATAAAAAAATTGTGCATTTGGACCAACTTACCTGAGAGATATAATAGCGTTCCATTTTACATACTTATATATACAAGTAGTCTTTAATCTCGTTCGCCAGATTTAATTCCCCTTGATTTTTTTGTAGGGACATTTAAAATCAAAAGTGTACATTAACAGCCAAATATGTTTACTGTATTATACCAAATGGCTGCTGGATGGCAGGTTAAATATTTATTTCATACTGTGTCAATTTTGACTGCTTTACGCAAATCGCCTTGTCTCTCCAAAACAAGGACAGAAGTTGACATAAATTTGAACAATATTGCAGTTCAAGTACTTTTACTTGGGTACCAAATTTCAATAAGTTCTGAAAATATTTAGCTGTATCCATAATTTTAGCAAGTCTATATACATATTTTGATCAACCTCCTTTTAGGCCTTACACCCATAGTTCATTTGCGACATTTCGATGCGACGTTGCAAAGTTATTCCAATTTTTTGAATTTTTTTAGCAATGGAAGAGTTCACAAAACATTGCAATAAGGTTATTTTTAAAATCTAGGTCGCAATATTTTGTGGGAGTCTGGTATAAATAAAAGTGTTCATAAAAAAAATATATTATAACAACTATTTTCAAGCATCAATATTTCAGTTTTTTCAAAGAGAACAATGTTTTATTACTACAACTTTTTTGTTTTTTGTTCTCTTTTTTATTTGTTAAATATTTTCTACTTCATTTCAAGTTGATAGCTGTTGAGATTTTTCAGTTTTTTAAGGGATACACCAACATATTCAAAGAGTGAGAATAAAAAATTTAGTAAAAATGCAGTAATAAAATACCATGTGTTCTATGTGAAAAAACTGAAATATCGATATTTGGAAATTGTAAAATTTCAATTTTTAGAAAGACACTGTACCTTAAAATTTTATTTATTTGATACCATAATAAACAGTGTACTTCTGTTTATCTCTCCATAAATATTGCAACACTGAACTTAAAAATATCCTTATTCCGATTTTTTGTGAGCCCTTGCAATGCAAAAAAAAAAATTCAAAAAATGGAATAACGTGGCAACACCGCATGGGAATTTCAAAAATAAACTATGGTCATTGTATTAAAAAAAAAGTTTTGTGCTATGCTTCGAAAGCACAACACTTTGTATAGTGGAAAATAATTTTATTGTATGATACTCAGAGCCGTACAACTTTGAAGCCTAACTTTTTTTCTATCTGTAATAATTAATGTAATATCGAAGATCATGCGTAAGTGACTCACCCTGTTCACTACCTATTGTTAGTTGAACCGAAAAATTATTATTCTATTCATTTCCATACAATTAACAAATAATTATAAACCGTTAACAAAAACATTTTTCAATTGAAATTTAATCGAACGATGAATTAATTATTATAAATTTTATGATACTTTTCTAAATCAGTAAACAATAATAATCCGTATAAAACAAATTGTAATAGGTTACTTTCAGCCAAAAAACCGAAAGTTGTTTTAATTTCCGGCTAAATGAATTTTAAGATGTCCTTAAACACCCTTCATGTTATAAATACTTTAACGTAGAATATAGCTTCCTACACAAGCAGTAATTTCGAAATAATTTTAACTTCAACTGCTTGACGAAATTTATCTCCTTCCGCTTATTTTCTTTTCCATTTCGACATTAGACCAATGAACTTTTATAAAAGTAAAATACCTACAAAATTAATTGTAATGGAAATTTCGAAGATTTCATAACTTCTCAAGATATACCTATATTGTCAAAATTTCTAAGTGGCACAGCTACACTTTGGAAGTATGATTTTATTGCTCTCCCTACTCTAATTACACTTGTCAAATACTATAAAACTGAAATTTTTCACTTGCATGATAATCTTTGCTTAAAAAAAATCGAAAAGCGACTTTAAAGTCTTTACTTTTTATCTTACAATAGGAACATCTTTGAAGTCAATCCAGAGCAAACCAAAAAGTTTTTCAGTCTCTACCACTTATCACTCACTGGTATTATGAATACGAGAAATTAGTTCGAGAGTAGTCCAGTGTTTACGTGGGTAGGATTTGAAATATTCTACAACTGAGTGTTTCGCCTATATAAGAATTACCTCGACATGTAACTTTTTCATTTAATTTCATAAAATGCAAAATACCTCTTTACTAAATAAAGAACATTACATAAGCGTCAGAACACAACAGAAAATTTTCAGCAACCTTCCGCCCGGACTAAATGAACCTGTTCATTAATTACTTTATAACTTCCTCATATATTTAACTATCTATATTGCGCAGTACTGAATTACTGGCCCTATTTTACTATTGGCGTTCCCAACTATAGTAGATCCAAAAATATGAACTACTTTCATTTAAAACTAAAAAATGGAGACTTTTTACCTTCAGTTAACCCTTCAGTACAAAATTAGGAAACTTTTCAAATCATCTCAGATTTATTAAAAGTTACGCGTTGCCTAACATATGTACTGATTTCTATAAAAATCCGAACACCTCGAAAAAGTTGAGCCATTTAGTTAATATTATCGGATCCGATATGGAAACAGTCATGGAAGAAATGATTAAAATTTCAACAAAAACCATTAACGTTAACTTACCCTTTTTACCTTTTGAAAACAACGTTTTGCTTTGCTAGTCATCAGTTTATCGCCGAATAAGGTCGTTTGGGTTGCGTTCATATCGACCATTTCTTTGCCTCCCATTGACACCAAGACATCGTGTTCGTCGGTTGCAATGATGCAACGAGCGAGCAAACTGGGGCCACGAATAGAATCAGGTAGTCAGACGAATCCCGGTTTTGTCTTTAGGCTTACGATGGACGTAGGAGGGTGAGGCAATTACGTTGAGAATGCCGAAATTTGAATTTCGCTGTTGAACGCCATACAGCTCTCATTCAGGTAAATTTGAATGCAAGAGGATACATCGATACAGTACTGGAGCCGATTGCATTTTCTTATCTCAGGGGGTTAACTCGACCCCTATTTCAGCAAGACAATGCACGCCCACATACGACAAGAGTCACAACGGAGTACCTTCAACCACATAATATTGAAGTTCTCCCCTGGCCTGCTCGTTCACCAGATTTGTCACCAATCGAACATGTGGGGGATATCATGGGCACACGTCTAGGTAACTTGCAGCATCCCCCGAATAATTTAAGTGACCTTCGTATGCGGCTTCCGGAAGCTTAGGACGAGATCCCACAGGACACCGTAAACCATCTTCTTTCAAGCATGCCTCGCCTAGTACATTTTTTATTTCACAAGTTTTAGGCCTGTTATTTTAATCATTTATTTGGGTCGATTTAATGTACATTTGGTGAAACTTTCCGTTTTATCTAACTAATTCAAGGTGTTTAGATTTTTATAGAAATTAGTATATGTTATTGCAAATTACCATAAAATTTATGAAAAGTGTTAAAAGCAATTAATATAAATCTTATATGTTTTCAAAAGTTGAAAATTATATAAAAATAAAAAAAATACTCCAGCTTTGTAACAGGTCTGATCCCGTGCTCTTCCTGACAAGGAATCGTAGAAATAGGGTATAGGTTAAAAAATGGTTAGTATTAAATTAGTTTGGTGTGAGTGGATAATAGATAGCTGCTGAAACGCTTCGACAGTTTTTTTTAATTTCCGAAGTCGTGGGAATAATGTGTTTAAAGTTAGTTCATAATGCCCAAGTGACCGTTTTAAAAATTCTGCTACACATGGTGCCGAAAACACCAGAAATCGTTTTTTGTATATATTGTAGTATTTTATAGTATATTATATTATTTAAATATAAGTGTAAATATTTTATTGGTTATCGGCATAACTGTAGCATGTATTTGAATGGTGTAAAGTACATTGCAAATTTTATTACATATTTACAATCGTACCACTTTATAAGCTCTAATATTAATTATAAAGGACGTGAAAACAAATAAATGATTACAATAATTTTTAGTACCCACGTTCACTATTAATTTAATAACGAGTAAAGAACTTTTTAAGGTAATCTGCAGTAAAATCTAATTAAGCAATTACAAACAACAAAGCTACACGTGCCTGAATTTCAGAATGTGTTCGTTTAGAAAATTAGTAGTCAATATTCTCAACAACTCTAATTAAAACTGAAACATGAAGCAACAAAATGATTTTTTATAACCACTTTCACAATCAAATGATAAAAATTTAATAACAATTTTATAAATCGCGATTCTGTAACCGACAATTAATTTATAAATATCGTTCAGATAATACTCAGAATAAATGTGGAAAATATTTTACACTGTAAAAATAAAAATCAAAAATGTAAAAGTATTTTATTTTTTTAACAAATTATTTACATCGAGTTTTTCAAGAACATTTTCTATTCTTTCCAACTTTTCGTATAACATTTTTAAGGAGTATGTCGATTCAACTTCTCTATCTTTGGCGAGAGTTAAATCCTTAATGACATTTTGTAAAAACTCAATTATGGCTTGGTCCTTTATATATTGTTTACTTTTAGGATTTTTGTGAGTGTAAACGCATCCGTCGTTATAAGGCTGAATCACTAAAATTTTATCATCCTGAAATACATTAGCCGTTCTCAATAGTTTCTTAAATATGCTTCGAAAAATGCTATTAGTCGATTTAAGCAAGTTTGAAAAGATAATTCTTTCGATGTTTGTAATGTAATCTGCTATTTCCTTTTTGCTAATAAATTCAGCCTTTTTCTGAATTTCTTGTAAATCGCTAACTGCTAACCCAATAAGAAGATTCTGGAGTATAATTCCAATTATAACGATGAAACAAACATAGATAATGTGACTGAAAATTGGGTTGGTTTCAAACTGGGAAGGATAATTTGAGTCAGGATCACCAGCGAACATAGTGATAACATCATAGAGTATGTGAAAAAAATCATTCATGTTGTCTTTCGGATCAGGATTGTCACGTAACATATAAAAACAGAAAAAAAATGCTAATACAGGAAAAATATAAAATACCATATACTTGCAGAAACTTATAGAAGTTTGTCGTAGAATTATAACTTTGATGGTGAAAAAAGGAAGAATTCCTAACTGCATAAAAATTCCTAAAGTAGAAGTGAGAAAAACCACGGAAAAAGCGACCCTTAAATTATAATCATCTTGTGCCACATTTTCTGTCCAGCCAGACGCGATAATGTAGATAACTCCACCAATAAGCAACAAATCCACTATGTTATCTAATCGTTTTAGATAATCTGTGCGAAAAAGCGTCAACTGAACACTCTCACGTGTAAAAATAAAACACAAAGACGTCAGGAGAAGACCATTTGAAGCGGTAGCATAATTTTCGTAAGCAAATCCATAAAACAAAAGAGATACATAGGCGATTAGATACAAGAGCAAATTTATATAGACAGCCCATCTGAATTTTGTCCACTTTACTGCTAGATAACTCGAAATTACAGGATGATTTAACAAATGTGTTAAATTTGCTATTTTGATAAGATAAAAAAGGAATTCCGATTCATTCACTTCATTTTTTTCGCTACCACCTATTAATGCTTCGTAATTAATCTCAATAGGAAACATTTTTTTGTAGTTTTTCAATTCAAAAAGCATATTATCTAGATCTTTAGTGTCTTTGGGTAGAGCAATACATCTATCAAAAAATTTTTCTAAAACATTGGGTTCTATAGAATGTAGCGGAGTGGAATCGAAGCTGTCTTTCTTAGTCAGAGGTGCCCCCATTTCCAAAAGTTTCAAAACATTATCTGAACATCTGTAATTTGTAGCATAGTGAAGGGCTGTACGATCTAGGTCATCAGTACTTAAGAGATATCTTCTAATTTTATCTTTTTCGTATTTAGTTAAATGATTTAGAACTAATGTCATATATTTATCTATTCTGCCAACATTCTTCATGTGTTTGTATTTAGTTTGCATTTTTATCAAAATGTCTTCCGGTAATTCAATTCCTGGATTATCTAAGAATAGCTCGACTATTTCTTCATGATCTTCCTTAATTGCTATCATAATGGGCGAGGTTTCATTTTTTCGAATTGTCTTATTAGGAGAAGCCCCTTTGCTTAAGATATGTTTCACGCAAGATGTAAGTCCCTTAGCACAACACATTTGCATTAGGGTACAGCTGGAAAAGTTTTCATCCGAACCATCCAACCCGTTGACTTCTTCTTGGCTGAAATCTTTTAGTAGAAATTCTTCCTCTTTGTTAAACATAACTAGTGCAAAAATAGCGTCCTTTGTGAAACTTTCACTTTGTTGAGAATGGACCAACCTGGAAGCAATTAACTTATCTTCGTTCTTCAGCAAATCAAGTGGGCTAACTCCGTTGGAATCAGCTTGATGCACTCGAACTCCTTTATCAATCAGCTGCTGACAGCATTCAAGAAATGATTCATTTCGTCTTGCATACTTCAAAAGGATATTTAAGGCGTTATTTGAGTAACTTTTCTTCACATTTTTATTGGCCAAACGAAATTTCCTTGGTACATGGGTTGAACAATACACCAAAGAGTTGGCTTGTTCTGTTGTTAAGTGTTTAATGATTGCCCTCAGTTTATCTTTATCACCTTGAATGGCCGCATAATGGATAGCTTCCCAGTGGTCATTTTCCGTGGGTTCGGTGCAGGAAGCTCCCAATTCTATTAATTTCGCAATAGTCTCACCTTTAACATTTGGATCGTTACAGGCTAGAATTAAAATAGGATGTTCTTCGTGCGGTTGATGGTACTTTGCTGACAATAAATTGCTGTGCCTGTGGACAATCCTTTCAATGGATCTGATATCATTGTTGTGTACATATTTCAATAATTTGAGCTGTCCTTGTGAGTTATTTAAAATTTTACCGCATATCATCATTAAGAACTGAAAATGACTAAATTTAGAATTTTTAAATTAACATTAAAAAAACATGTTTTACTTACACACGAGTTAAAAAAATCACATTAATTGCACTAAATAATTATATGTAACTAGTTTAGTTTCATATCTGCTAATAAATACATACCATTGGTAACTAGAGATAAATTGATAACAGGATTTCATCAGTAGATAAAATGATAACAGCTTTACACTTGATACATTTAAGTATGAACAGTGTTAAAATGGCTTAAACAATCGATAAATATATGACAACATGTGCTGTAATTATAAAAACACAAATTCTTATCACATAATACGAGAAATATGTGTATAGACAAAAAAACCTCAAGAATTTTGAAATTTGAAGTTAGTGCATAACTATTATTCACGCATGCATTTAACATGACTAACTGAATTTTTCTATTTCGATAATACAATGACAATTTTGTATAACGGAAAGTAGTACGTTTTGATATGGTATGGTTGGTGGCAAAGTTTTCATCCCAAAATTTAATTGACGTTGGCGGTGAGAATAAAATAATACGTGAGAACTGAATAGAGATTGTGTGTTTATTATCACGCTTTTAAGTTCAATTAAAGATAGAAAACGTTTACTGAGATTCTGTGACATGTTCAACTCATACTTTCAAATTAACGGTAATCTGACAAGAATTCTATCAAAGACAAATCTTCAAAAACCCTTTCAGTAAAGTTGTTTGTGGTGTTTATGAACAGTATGCTATTTCCCCAAATTCAATTAAGGTAATAAAACGAAGCACGAAAACTTCCAAAATATGCCTATTTTATAAACTATTAAACAAAACAATCCACTTGTTGTCACTGGTTTTTATTACTTACGTATTGTAATAGAGTCCGTCGGCCAACCCTCTACTTTTACGTTTTCTCGACCTTTCATGACCTCTAGAGTACGAAGAAATAAGTCTCCCGTTTCCGTATATCTGTCTGTCCGTCTATCTGTCTGTCTGTCCATTTGTCTGCCCGTCTACCGTCCCGATTTTTATTAGACAGAGAATCTCCAAAAGTACTGGGCCAATAATTGTCAAATTTTGTATTTATATTAGGAATAACATGCAGATTATAAAACGCTAACCAAATGATTTGTCTAATCATCCCCATCAATAATATGATGACGTCACATCAAAATTGTACTTAGTAAATGGGTTTTAAATTGTATAAAATAACATAGTCCTACACATGTAGTTTATGAGTCCGCATTTATTTTACCCGAAACGTCCAGATTTTTGGAAAAAAATCAAAATTATAAAACAACATTTTGCTATTTAATTTGTAATCTGCAAAACCGAATGCTTTGAAATCTTGCAAATGTTTTACAGTTATGATAAGCATGATAAATGTTTAATCAAAATATATTTACTTATTCCCTCCAAAAAATTGATGACGTCAACTCAAAATTTTCTCGAATAAATCCCATCTAAATTGTACAAAATATGATGAGTCTGTCCTTGTCATTTATCATACCTTTCATATTTTTTGGATTCGCATATACAGGGTGACTCAAAGAAAATAATAAAACATGATTTTATTTTATTGATTTAAACAGAAACTACAAAAACGAATGCTTTGAAATCTTAAAGATGTTTTAAAGTTATCATAAGCATAGTAAATTTTTGATCAAGATGTATTTGCTCATCCCCCCCTAAAAAATTTGGATTAATTTCTGCACTCATCGAAATATTGTGGTAGTAAATTTCACCTGGAATATGTGGCGATCTGTAAGTTTGTTATTTCGACTTCTGTATTTGTCTGTTTCCTATTTATCAGCTGGAAATTTCATTGGACGAGTAATCTCCAACATACCAAACCGATCGCATCAAAATTTTATTAATGGATTAAACTTGTTTATTCATTTCAAGCTAGTTTTAATTAAATTCTATATATATCACTACTTTTAACAAATCCTTTTATTAACAAATTTCTCTATTTAAATAGCAACCCAAATTAAAGATTTCTTTAAAATTTTAAAACAACATAACACCGATTTAATAATAATAATAATAAGGATTTATTTCCAACAGACTACATTGTCTATGGTGGAAACTTAATACACTAACATTATTAAAATTGTTTCTAAAAGAACTTAACAAAATAGAAAAATATAAATGAAAAGGGGAAAGCAAATTAGATCACAGCGAACCTTAAATCGTATTAAAGTTGTAACAAATAGCAGTTAGTTTTGCTTTATATTTTGTGTTACTAAAATTATCATAAAATATGTCTACATTATGATTTATTAAACAATTACACAATCTCAAACATCTCATAAACGGGCTATTGAAATGATGGAATGTACTAGGCACCTGATAATAAAATGTTGTGGGCGTACGACAGTTTACACGGGGGCAAATAAACTGAATATTTTGTAATATTGATGGACAGAAAATTTTGCCACTTATTAGTTTTTGCATAAAGGTTACACAGGCTACATTTCTCCGCGCATAGAGGAAACATTCGTCAACTATATTATATAACGCTTCTGATGCACAGTGTTGAGGCGGATATGAACCATACATCTTAAAATAAATAAATTTACAAAATTTTCGCAACACATTTTCAATAAGATTAATATAAATTTTATAATGTGGTGCCCAAACTACACAACAATACTCAAGCTTACTTCGAACTAACGCATAAAACAAAAGTTTAAAACTAAATATATCTTTAAAATCCGCTCCATTTCTAAATATAAAACCTAAATTTTTAAGAGAACTGTTCACGATATGTTCGATGTGCGGTACAAAAGACAACGCAGAATCAAATATTACACCTAGATCCTTAAATTCATTACACACTTGTAGCGGCAAGCCATTTATGTTATAATAAAAGTTCAATTTATCTACCTTTCTTGTTATTCTCATAATTTTGCACTTGTCAATGTTAACATCAAATTTATTATTATGACACCAAGTAATGAAACTATCTAAACTTGATTGCAACTTCAGACAATCATGAATAGACTTTATTATATTTACTATCTTTAGATCATCTGCATAAATAAAACTTTTTGTTTGAAGATTCGTTACGACATCATTAAAAAATATGGTAAAAAGCAGAGGACCTAAATTGGAGCCTTGTGCCACTCCACTATTTACTTCTATTTCAAAAGACTTACATCCACCATACTCAACATATTGTTTTCTCCCAATAATCATTGACCTCAATAATAACAACAAATCATTACAAAATCCAAACATTTCAAGTTTTTTTAAAAGCACGCAATGATTCACCCTATCAAACGCTTTTGTCAAATCAGTATATATCACATCTACTTGGAAGTTATTATCTAAAGCTGATGACACAAATTGCGTGAATTCATATAAATTAGTGGTGGTTGACTTCCCTTTGACAAAACCATGTTGTTGTGGGACAATGTAATTTATAACATGTGAATATATTACATTAGAAAATATAGTTTCAAATAATTTGGAAAAGTTTGACAAAAGCGCTATGGGTCTATAATTTTTAACACTTGATTTATCGCCTGACTTAAAAATTGGACACACTTTTGAGAATTTCCACTTGTACGGATATGTGGATGATTTTAACACTAAATTAAAAATATATTTAAGGGGTATTAACAAACATCTAATACAATCAACTACAAAAAACGCAGGTATACCATCAGGGCCAGATACTAAATTAGGTTTAAGTTTTTTTGCTGCTTTCAGAATGTCATCATCATTAATAGAAAATAAATGCAAAACAGAGCTAATATTACAAACTTTTTGAAGCGAGATAGAGACACAGTTGCTATCACCACAAATATCACAAATGTTAGTATTCATATCACTATTATTATCATATCCAGGAACGTTGTTATCACAGAAAACGGTGGAAAAATTGTAAGCGAAAGCGTTGACAATCTCTTGTGGAGAGGACACAACATCGTCACCATATGTCATTTCGTTTAAAATCACGTGAGATTTTGTTTTAGTTTTCACAAACGACCAAAACTTTTTTGGATCATATTTGATGGAGTTTTCACTGTTGTTTACAAATCGCAAATATTCATTACGACTTTCACTACAGATGGCACGTCTAAGATTTTTTACTTTATTAATATGATACAACCCTTTGTTTTTCCTATACAAATTCCAGTGTTTCTTCTTTTCATTTATTTTATCAATGATAGATTTAGTGAACCACGCAGGGTATTTAGCACGTTTGGTATTAACACTACATTTGGGTACATGTTGATCGAATAAATCAAAGATTATTTTATAAAGATAATCACACGCAACATTCACATCCTCGATGCTTTCAATAAATGACCATTCAACTGACGATACAGCCGCATATAGATCTTGCAAGTTGGCTTTATAGAAGTTAAATTTGATGACTTCTGATTTTTGCTTAACAGAAATATTTTCTTGAAGACTTAGTGAAACAGACGAATTTAATGCAGGATGATGTGGATCCTCTGGTACTAAAGGAAACTGACTTTGCTGGCAAACAACATTGAAATGATCAGTTGACAAAAAAAGGTCTAATATCCTTGTATATGTATTAGTAATTCTGTTGTGTTGTCTAATACTATTTAAAGAAATAAAATTACTATAAAGGTTGAATAAATTAGATGTCTTCATTTCTCTCACACATTCAGCGTATTCAGAGATATTGAAATCGCCCAAAATAATTAACGGGTTCGAGAAATCCAAGTGATTCTCAAGGTGTTCAAAAATTTGTATGTAGTTCCCAGTTTGCTGTGATGGCGGAATATAAATTGCGACCACCGTTATATTTGATTTTTTGATTGAAATTTTGGCTGCCACTATTTCAATTTGTGGAATAGGTGATATAACATCTAGTTTCTTAATAGCAAATTTGTCGTTTACTGCAATCAAAACCCCGCCACCTCTTCCAGATAATCTGTCATCTCGAACTACATTAAAATAACTTGGAAATAGTTCACTAGACAACACGCCACTGGTTAACCATGTCTCTGTTAAGACTACAATTTCTTCATCAATGGTACATACATTAGTATAGAAGTTACTTATTTTAGTATTTAGACCCCTAACATTTTGATAAAAAATATTGAATATATAACTTGATTTTTGCAGAGGTGTCGTAGAAGTCTGTTGGGATCCTAAGCGTTTTTTATCTCAATCTTTTGAATTTTCGGCACTCCGTTTGAATATTTTAAAACTATGCCAGTTTCACCATCTTTTTTGCGATTTCTAAATTCAGTTCTTATTAAAAAGCATTGATTCTGCTGACGCTTCGTTAAATCTCTATTAAGGTACAACTGATTTTTACGATTATAAGTTCTTAGGACTTCATATGCATGCTGAGGAGTTGCAAACGAGATTCTCATTGGGCGTATTTTATCATTCCTAAACATACCTAATCGACCACAAGACATAATTTTTATATTATTTTCATTCTCATTACCATTGGAAAAGATCGTTTTCTTAACACGACTCATGTCATCTTCATCTCGTTTAATTTGAGTGTTTTCCTCTGATTCTGGTAAATTAAAAAGAATTAAATTGTATGATCGACGATTTCTTTCCTCAACCTCATTGATTACTTCTTCAGTCGATAAAATGTCTTTATCAGGTAATGGCACCTTACCTTGGTTATTTTTCACTTCCTCTAGCTGAGTTTTTAGTGAATCCAACTCGGTTTTCAATTTATTAATTGTTGTTACTACATCACAATTATCACAGAAATAATGGATTTTTCGAGAATTAGAACGTACACATTCAATTTCAATCGCTGCTAATCCAGAACATCCAGTATGGACCAATTTTCTGCAGATGTCACATGCCACACAATCCGTGTTTCTTGTTTTCTTTCCACAAACCGTACACATAGACATATTTATTACTTCAATCACAACAATACCAGTAAAAATCAATAATAATTTCAATGATATCGATAAAAATGTCAGCGACAAAAATTTTAGTGATTACAAAACATTAACATTTTCGTTGTTGTTCGAAACGTTGATGACGTTTCAAAAATATTTAATAATAATGTTTTTAAATGCTATACCCTGCAGTATTATAGCCGTTGTAGTAAAATCTTTTCCGTTTTTTACATTTACTTACATAAGTTATCTATATAAAATTAATATAGACCCATATACCAGGTGTTCAATGAAAAAATTCGTCAAGTTGGGTTTCATTTTTTGTAAACATTGTGAAGTATGTCTACAATTAACCTCAAATGTAATTGATGACAGCTGACAATGTATGAATTAATAAAACATATGCGTTTTGCTCTACGTTTTCTTCAATGAAAAAAACAACACCAACTTGATGACTTTTTTAATTGAACACCCGATATTTCACCAATTATGTTTACTTCAAAAGTGCTTTAATTGATTTACGTAAAATTCTAGCAAAACAGTAACGTTATAAGTAATGTATACTCAAAATAAATGGGCCCATCGTTACTAAAAAGTTGATAATATCATTCCAGAAAGTTATGTAGTGCACTTTAAATCAAATGTTCTTAATTACCAGTTTAAATGTGAATTAATATCATGCAGTTGCTTTTGGTGTACATTAAAACTGTCTTGAGCAGCAGAGAAGTGTGCTAGTTAAACGAGAATGTAGTTTCTACTATACTGTTTATTTACAAAAAATAGGATATTGAATGTGTTTTGAAGACGAAAGAAATCGTATGCAAACCATTTCCCAGATTTATTTTTTATTTAGTATTTATTATTATCAATTACGTTAAAAAAATACATGTCTGTCTGATTCAGAGCTGTATTTGCAATTAAATGTTTTCTTTTTTCAGAACCTAAATTTTATTTTTAAACAAAATCCAAAGATTACTCGAATAGAACAAACGTTTACTTAAAATCTGTGGATTAAAGAAGATATTTCTTATCTACGCCCATACACAGTACTGACAATGAAGATGTATTTTAAAAATGATAAAAATAAATAATACCTAGTAAACTATTATCTATAAGTGTATACAAATTTTTAAATTTGTCTTAATATAGTGTGATATCTAATCAAATGACGACAACACTAATATCAAAGTACGAAATCTAGGAACTTAAACTCAAGTTTTTTTTATAGTATCTTTCTGTTTCCAAGCAAATTTTTGCGCTTAAAACCTTAAAATTTAAACTTAATTTAATGGGAATAAAAAATAGGTCCGTATTTTTACAATATTAAATTCTAAAAGATTTCATAACTATTTTGCTTGATTCGTTTTATGCCCCAAACCAAAAACTAAAAACATTACAGTAATCTCTGTCAACTTATAAATAAAGTTATAATAGACTGACTGTATATCATAAGCAATAAAAGTTTCAACAACAGGTAATGAATCATTTAAACAACGTATACATATTCTTCAACAGCGTTTATAGATAAAATTTAAATTTAACTGCTAAATTTTAATTTCCGTGGAAAATATATCGACGTCTTTAATATTCAGGCAAATGTCTGTTCTCAACATTTCTCCGGAACATTACGACCATTCAAATTTTCGTTTAAAAGGTGGCAACAATCACTGCTAATAATAGATTCACTTATTATTTACATTGGTGTTTCTGTTACGCAAACGCTTCACATTTTCTTTTCCGGAAACTTCCAATTAAAATTTCTCCAGCTTCAGATATCTCAGGTATTTCATCACATTTAACTGCAGAAAGTCGTTTTACTATCTTGTTCCCTCCAGAATCAGTTTCCAGTAACTAAGTTTGGTATCTTACTACTTAATTTCATTACAATTACCTAAAGTAATCCTCAAAGTTTGCTTTCTGCCTCATTGACAAACAGGCACGGTTACACTTGGAACTTGATTCTCCCTACAATATGTAATTTTGTTAAAATTCTCAATCAATGCCGCTTAAACAATTCAACGTTTGGACTTACGTTCCAGGAAATAAACCCCCAAACCGGAACCAGACTGGACTGTCCATGGCCTTGGGCCGATAAACTGCCTCAGGAGGACGGATATTGCCTGCAACAGCAACAAAGGTCGCCTAGATTTGTCCCAAAACACAAAGTAGAAGACTTAGGTAACATAAATTATTGTATGTAAGTAATTAGCTGTTAAGTAACCCAAGTATGAGTGAAGTATAAATTATAAATTGAACATACCACTCATTCCAGATTATCCCAAGAATTAGTACAGGTATTGCTCTCAAAATTAAATTAAATTAATAAAATTTGAGTAATTAGTTTATTTTCTGACTTTAATTATATAAGTACATATCCATTTTTTTCAGTAATTATAAAAATTATAAAACACACTCAGCCAAGTATGCCACTACCTAGTTAGTTAAAATGACTGAAACTTCTAACAATAATTCAATTAGAGAAGTTCTTAAGCATTACGTCTCAACTGAATGCACAAACTACTTGTGAACTACTAACAACGAAGAAAATAAAAATACCATTCCAAGAGTGGGTACGATTAAGACAATATTATGTAAAATAATTGTTAGAAAAACGAGGTTTTTCAATAAAAATTAGCATCCTCGGCACCAGTAAACACTTTTATCGCTTGTCGAACCACAGCATTTACAACAACTGTTCAGTAACTTTTAACTTCCCGAGCGTAAAATAAGGAAATATTGTAAAAAATAAATCAGTGTCGTGTTCTCTCGACGTTTTATAATTTGTAAAACACAAAAATGTAGATTTTTCGTTTCCGTCTATCTGTTGTCTATTTAACTATCCATTGACGATTTTATTGGAGAGATCATCTCACAAACTACTGGACTGATCATTATGAAAGTTTAGGTATGCTTTAAAGTTATCATGTAATTGACAAGACAATAAACAAAATTTATTTGTTCGTCCGCATCCAAATCTGATGACACCTTAAAATTTGTGAATCTGGCTTCAAATTAATATTGTGCTACTCTCGTTTATCTGTACTTTAATGATGTATACCTACATATTTTTAAACTTGTGCATGTACTTAGTTTATGGTAAATATGTAAATACAAATTTGCAAAACGAAATTTTAGAATTTGTCTTATAGAACTTACAAAATGAACCCTTTTAGTACCTATTTTGGTAATATATTACATTTAATCAAACAGCCATAGAATACCGATCAAAATTTGTCGGCCAGCCCCTCCAAAGATTTCATAACGTCATTTGAAAAAATTATTATATGCTGCGCTGCTTATGGTTTAATAATCTACTCTATTTTATTTAAACATATCAAGATTATCTCAAAAAAATAAATTAACCGAATCAAAATTTACGATTTATCTACTAGCATAAGGTTCTTTAAATTTATTAGTGAAACATTAACTGACACACACAGATTTAGTGTGTATAACATATTAACTAAATATTATTAATTCGTCTCCTCTAAAAATTCATGGCGTCATCTTAAAATATTGAAATATAATATGACATTATCTAAATGTTATAACATTGAAAATAAATTCTAACAATTGTAAAAATACCAAAAACTTTTCAAAATTGTTTTACATTAAGGTAGTGCCTGTATTATTTAGGAAATAATATAAATAACCAGCAATGTCTATAAACAAACAATAAAGAATGCAAACTTGGATATAACAACAACAACAGAAAAAGTATTTTAGACCTGTGACCGACTCTATTCCAATCAGACGTCGCTAAATGGCTCGTTAAATGCGTGATGAACTTAACCTCTGTCAAAATATTTTATAAACTGGCCTTAAGTATCAAAAAATTCTTTGGGGACATTTTGTGACAAACAAGGAGTAAATAAAAATGTTTGACTGCACTATTTCCTCAAATAGTTGTATCTACAGTTCCTTTTGTAGCGTTGTAAATAAACTTATGAAATACTTCAAATGTAGTAATTTAATTTTTCTCACTTTTTTTGAATACAAATCCTGTGTTTCCTGAATATTAAATTTAATGAAGTATCCTTAAAGAAATCTGAGGAATCATTAACTTGAGTGCCTCAAACACTTGTGACATATATGTACGTATCTCCCTTTGTTGTGATAACAATGAAAGACGTAAAATATTTTTTATCAATAACCTTTTGTCAAAACTAATCACTATCAGTTATTTTAAATCTACGCAAGAGTATATTTCCAAGTATCATAAAGAATTACACACAAAAATATGTGGACTAGAAGTTAACAATGGGAAAACACATCAACGAAAATAACCCAAAACAAAGGCGAAACAACATTAAGCATGAACGACAACAGCAAATGGCGCATTACAAATACCTAGGAACTGTAATAATGAGAGAAGTAATCAAGATTAGTTAAAAAACAGATTAGAAAAAAATAGAAAACTATTCCAAACATTAATAAGTGAAAAATTTCTAAGCGATAAGAAAATTTCAGAAGAAACAAAAGTAACGGTTTACAAAAGAATTTGCATACCAGTTTAAATTATTACGTATATGTGAATACCGATTCCTAACAGAACGAAGAAGAAAAGGATACAAACAACACACAAGTGAAATATTTAAAAGAATGTGAATATAAGCAAACGAAACAAAATAAGAAATACAGAAAGATAAATAAGAAGAAAACTAAACTTACAACCAACACAACCATTAACAAAAGAAAATAAACTTAGATGACTAATAAGACACACGTAGGATGGATGCAAATAGACAAGTAAAAAGAGTATGAGAAACAAAAACTACAGACAAGAACAAAAAAAAGCAGACCAATTAAAATTTGGAGTTCTGAGTAATAGCGACAAATTATTAAGGAGAAAGTCAACCCAAACCCAAACGTCAACAGTTAACAGTTGAATAAAATGGATTATATATGTAAGAGTAATTTAAAGATATATTAAAATCCATTAAAACAGTATGCTTTTCAATTAAAAAAATATATATGCGTCTTATTTGTATTGTATTAAATTAAGCTTCATGCTTCAAGCTAAAAACAATGGTGTCTACAGGATATAAGTTTTATCTGGGACACCTGTATATGTAACAAACAAAATCTACAAATTAAAAAATATAACAACAATAATAAACTGTCAGATATCAAAATAAGTGTGGATGTAGCAAAGCAAATTTAAAAAATAAATTTAACAGTAATTGACATCAGTAGCCCATAAATAATAGTAATTAAAAAATGTCGTGGTGAGTAAGAGAGAACGTCTCTTAAAAAAGAAAACACTCAAGCTGTTCAAAACATAGGGAGTTTGACAAAATGAATTTTATGTGTTGTACTACAAAACTGCAACTAACGTAGAAAATGATTTATATTTTATTCTTTACACTTCTACTAAAATGATTGGCTATATGTACTAGTTCCGTTAATTAATTGTGAACGCAGTTTTAAGCAAAATGTTTGAGTTCCCATAATGAAATTAAAGGCAAACATTCCAATGAAGATTTTTGAAACAGAAAGAAATTATGAAAGGAAATACAAGTACTTTCATAAGAGATCGAAAGGCAGTAAATAGTGTTAATATTGATAACTGCTGGCATCAAAGTATGAACAAGAAAGAAAATAAATAAAACATCCTGAAAGCTGTTTGCCTTTTTCCACGATTTCAAAGGTGCTTTCCACAGTATGGAAGAAAAAACTTCCAGACATTAATTGAAACAAAAAAATAGTTAACAGCTTTAAAACACGAAAAACATGTTAAACATCAGTGCTGTGCTGAATAAATAAAAAATTAAATAAAGGCTTCACACTATTTTTCAACGTTATATAACAAAGTAAAAAAATCATTACAAAACGTAACGAAGCTAACTAGAACGCGCTAATTTTCCAAACGACAAATGAACATAAAAAAATTAATCCTAAGCCACAGCTAAAAATTTTTAAAAATATAAAATGAAAATTAAAATTGAAATGGTCGAGAACAAACTCACGGTGTTTACATAACTGAAACACACAGACTTTGAGACTTTCAGGTTTACGTTATGTATTTTTTACAATTTCATATTTTCATTAATGCTTCAAATACAAAGCTAATTTGACTTGTTTCAAGTACCATTTTAGGTCCAAATTGCAGATCATTAAAGATAATATTTTTGTTTCACATCAGCGCTAGATTGCATGTTAAAACCTTAAAACAATCACATATTTCGATTTAATTACATGCGTTCAGTGGGCAGGATTAAAAAAAATCATTTCACTTGTTTTCTTTGTAACTCCTTAAATTAAATTAAAAACAAGTAAAATAGGTAAAAAATTGGTAGAAGGTTATTTCGACAGAACTTCCCACGCTCCTGAAGTACTGTAAAACGAAACCAGCTTTTTCGAAAAATTATATATAAAATTTGATTATGCGAATTATATTTTTTATGAAAACCCTTGTAAGTTAAAATAAAGATATGTACGTAATGTTACAGTAAATGTAAAGAAGCGTGCTGCGCGTATGTTTCAAATGAGTTTTCCTTAAAAAAAATTGCGATGACGTTATCAACCTTTTTGTAAGAACACATAATATATATATATATATATATATATATATAGATAGGTGCAGTGTAACACTAATGATAACAGTATTATATTCCCAAATTTTCGGAAAAAGAATGAACTATTCCTGATTTAATCAATAAAATAAACTGATTATATTTTTTTCACCCCATATAAGCAATTAAAAAAAAATGTATACAGTGATAAATCAGAATTATAGACACATCATATTTTGTGCATTTTAGGTAGGATTCATTTGGCAAAATTTTGAAATAATGTCATCGATTTTTTTGAAGGGTTAAACAGATAGATATATGCTTACGATAAAAAAGCCTGGAAGATTTCAAAGCATTCGATTCTCCAGTTCCTGATTTGACTAATAAAGTAAATTGAATCATTCATTAATTTTTTTGAGTAAGCCTGTATAAAGTAATTCTAAAAACTGTGAGAGCATTGATAAACCACAAAAGTAGAGTCATAACTCATAATATTTTGCATATTCAAAGCGAGAATTTATTCGGCAAAACTTTGAGATGACGCCATCAATTTTTTAGGAGGGGATAAACAAATAAATATTGCTTAACAATTTACCATGATTACGATAATCTGAATATTTAAGGTCAAAACTCGATATGAACTCATACACGTCCTCCCAATGG